CATGAATCTTTGGAGGGTAGTACACAAAACAGATTAATTCATTGCCAAAATATGCATACACGCCATTACATGCCCAGTTGTAAAGTTCTTAACATAACCATCCCATGAAGTTTCAAAACATGTAAACATGGTTTAGGTTCTTAACCCATACAAACATTACAGTTTCAGACAAGTAAACATGAATTAAGTTTCAAAAGACCTACAACACAAACATCCTAATAACTAGGTAATGGAGTTTTCAGCCCCCCTCCAACTTTACCACTACCTCCTTACCCTTTACATGTTCTAGAATTATGCCCCTTGTTATGACACTCTGAACAAGTGGCCGTCGGATATTTCTTGGTTAATTTACGTACTAAGTTGTTAGGCTCATCAACACTCTTCCTTCTCATCTTTTTAGGCCTCCCAACTTACACATGTTGAACAATTATAGTTAAAATTAACCAGTTATATGTGATGAAAACCACATATTAGGCCTAATTGAAATACAAACTTGTGTTATATGTTTTTGTGGATTTAAAGTTAATGGGCAGTCACTTTTAGGCCACATTGAACGTCCATTAATTGATCACTTTTGTTGAAATATATGGTTTTCCATGTCGATAACCTATAGCAAGGATGTATGAATTCATCAACATGTGCATCATTTTCTCCATTTTCAATTCTGTCGCATATATCACAAACATCATGTCTATTTGGAAAACCTGTAATCTCCCAAAACCTAAGACCACAACTTTGTGAAAGTCCTGGTATACATAACAATCATATTAAAGTGATATTGCTAATTAACATATAATAATAACGAGTCACACTAACAACAACTTGAAATAATTGATTATTTGTTAGAAATTGGTTTTAATAAATATTCAATAAACTCTTATAATTAAATTGGAAATTATTTATTTTGAGGAAATAATAATTTTTGTTAGCAAGTAAGATTATATAATTCATATGGTATGAATTAATAAGTCATATACAACATTTTGGATTATATGAACGCTTTTGTCTTTTACCAAAAAGTTAATGTTTATATTTTATGAACTTGGTTTGTCAAAAAAAAAGCTTTGTCTTCTTTTGCTTTTTTATTTTTGAAATTATGAAAGAAAAAGGAAGGCATGGGCTTTTGATTAGCTTAATCAAAAGTGTGGCTTGTCTTAAAGGTATGAGAGACAAACCAGCTTTAGGCACATAAGTGCTTAACTAGTTAAGGACTTGTGTGTAATACATGTGCTTTTAGGAAAGGCCTTTATCTCTTTTTGTTCTTTAGCTAGAAAAAACATGACATGCATGGTTCTCTCTCAATTTTGTTCATCTTTGGAAGATTAACTCTCATGCTTTTGTTCTCTTGAATTTCATATTAGTTATGAACTTCAAGCTTAAAAGATTAAGAGTTTCCTTAAAAGACTAGCGTCTAAAATGAGGTTGACAACTTCTTGGTGTCTCTAAAGTTAATCATTCTTCATCAACTTCCAAGCCTCCCAAGAGGATCCAAGGAACTACAAAGGTTGTAATTTCATCTTCTTCTTTGGTGCTTGTTTTCTTTCCAAACTTTGCAAGAAGATCCTTGGTAGGTTATAAACTTGTTTTATGTTATTCAAAATATTATAAGTAATTAGTTGCTAAATCTTATGTTTTTTAAACTATTTTTTGAATAAAGCCCCAACACTTTGCTCATTCAAGTTTACTACATATTGATCTTCCCATGTGCTTTACACTTGGTACTTTCCTTCCCCATTATATTTAGCCACACACTTAGCTACATTAGTCTTAATCTTGTCAAGCACTATAGTTGTTGTAGGGGTTAGTAGTTCTTCCCACTTATCTATTTCCTTTCACACCACATAGAAAATATTCATGATATACTCTCTAATATACTCTAAGCAAGTAATAATAGCTTTATCCCTACCCTCGTTCCGCTTTGAATTGAATACCTCACAAAGATTATTCAACAAACAATCAGTGTGTGCCTTACCTATGTAACACATATAACGAGAAGACAATTACACATATAATAAAAACACAACAAGCAAGATTGAGCTTTATCATTAATTTCTTCAAACATACTACTAAAGTGAGATTTAGACTAAGTATTTGCTAGAATCTTACAGACTCAAGCATGAGCCTCCACATTGATCTTCTTTAACTCATCCATTGCTCTGTTAAAGTGATTGTTTTTTTTTGCTCTACCATACTCCTAAAGCTGGTCACTTAAGTCTTTTCCTTTCCACTATTTCTTCATATTTTGTTGGATATGCCTCAAACAAAACCTGTGTTATGCATTGGGGAATACCTTCTCAACTGCTAGTATTATTCCCTTAACAAAAGTGAGTGTAATCAGCATCAGTTACACAAATCTATCAAGCAATAGTAACAAGAAAAATAGTTATGGGATATTTATACCCTTTGTCTATTAGAAATGAATGTAAAATTTGAATTTGCTTGCAGATCCAAATCATCTCCTAATAGGTCCAAGAACCAGGTCCAACTACTTGTTGATTCTTTCTCTACCACTACATGTGCTACAGGGTATAAGCAATTGTTTGAGTCCATCCCCACAATAGTTAACACTTGCCAAAGATAAGAATCATAACTTCAATGCACCTAGACAGACATATATTCTTCTAAAAGTTCTTGTGGTGATAGAGGGAGGTTTTTGGATACCCATCGATCCTAAATGTTGTACCAGGATTAGTGTTTAGTAGCACCATTACATAATTCCTTAAAATTTTGTATTGTACTTGGTGGTCCTCACTGATGATACATTCAATTATTATCTTTGCCCTAACAACCTTTTGCAATGACATTCCTAACTATAGTTTCCTGCACAACTCTTCGTTTAAAGATTTGACTTGAATTTTAGGGTTACTCTGAATTTGTTGAACAATTATGTTTGCTACGTATATGGAAGTGCAAGCTTTAACTGCCTTGTTTGTAAAAAAAAATTATTCATCTTATATAGTTTTCCCCAACCAATCTTGATTTTCATTAGCCCTCAAGATTTGGACTGCCCAAGGACATGTTCCTTATTGACAATTACATATTTACCCTTGCACTTTGCCCTACTGCTAGTTGAGGGCCCACCACCATCAACTTCTTTAGATAACTGACTTACAACACCTTTACATTTCACCCTAATCCCGATTTTGTCTTTTTTTTTTTTGCTACTTATAGGTACCTCCTTGTCTCTACTACATGTGAATTCATGAAGTTTTTAACATCCAGCTTGGTTTTGAAGACCTGTCCCACCTTAAGTGGTTTTACATGAACCTCCCCATGTGAGCATATCCTTGATTTACTCAAATCCTTAAGAATTCTCTTCCTATCATCTTCATGAAATCCTACAAACTAATAATCATCAGTAGCAATAACTTCCTACTCATCATCAATAATTTCATTCCCTTTAGTTTTTGAATGATTGTTTAAGATTCCATGTTAATCTACATCAACAACACTATGTAATTCACTTATTTCTACATCAACATCAAATTGTATGTTAGACTCATTCACATTGTATTCACTGTCATCATAATCATCTCCTCTACCCTTAGAACCATCTCCACTCTCAGAATAGAAAGCCTCTCCACTATCATCACTCACCATAACCTCTATAAAATCCACTTCTAGTTAATATTCACAATCTTTTTGGACATTAAACTTAGCATCATACTCAACAAAAGCTGAATAATCATCTACAAATGGTTCAAATTCATCAATTATAACAGTTTCAACTCTATCATCACCTTACCAACTTGGTTCCTCTACATTTTGGAGGTTGCACTCAACATGGTAACTTCCACTACAAGAAAAAGACCCTTTTACGATGAGCAAACCACGACGCTCATTGATCTATGTTACGCAAAAGAGATCGACATTAAAAAGGTGTCATCTCTTCAAAAAATTTAAGGATTTAGGTCACGCATTATTGCGTGCCCTTAATTTAGTGTTATAAGAAAAAAAACACGGAGGGCACCGTATCTTAAACGCGCATCGTCTGTGAGTGTCGCTTTATAATTTTAATGAACGCGCGTTCGTTTAGTAGATAGGGGGAAATGAAATCCCCAAAATTTTAAAAACCCGCCTTGTTCTTTTCTACCTTTTTTCTATCTTTCATCTTCACAATAGATTCTCTCCTCTCCCTCCTCTCCAATCCGTTTCTCCCCTACTCCTGACCTTACTTGTTAATCGTCTCATCGGATCTCTACTCTAATGTCTCTCTGAAGATCAAGAAATTTCAAGCCCTAGTCCCCCTCTGAGGCAGAGATGAAAAGAGAAAGAAACATGAAGAATGCATCTATCGTTGTTACGACTTATGATGCTTCTCAAAGCTTCTCAAAGCTTTTGATAAGAACACTGGCTCAGTTGCTTCTCAAAGCTTTTTATAAGCACCCCGTCGGCTTTGCATACCGGAAATCGACCCACATCCTCAAATTAAGGTTTTTTTCATCCTTCAAATTACGACCCACATCCTCCATAGATCGATCCTTATTGCTTCATTTCTCACAAGAAATTGAACACTTTACATTTACAGGGCAACAAAATCAACTATTTATGGAACTTGGGTTTCGGTTCCAATTGAAATTGAAGGGTTTCTGCTCACCATGATCAAAGGGTTAGGGTCTTGTTTGTCAATGAATGCTCACAGGGCCACGGAAGCTAGGGTTTTTGGGCAAAGCTAGAATCGATCTTCTCTCATTCCTTCGGAATCACGAAGACGCTAATTGCCATGGAGTTCACGCGGACTATGGTTCAGAGAGTTATAAATTAATTTATCTTCAAATCCTGTTTGGAGAACTTCTAGTTTACACTAATGAGCGATGTGGAATAGATTGCATATCTGCTTTGGTAGTTTCCTTCCAAAATTGATGTTGTTCAAGTATTCTACAAACATTATATATGATTATTAATAAAATCATTTACTCCAAAATCATTATATATGTTGTTTACCTGTTTGATCCGTTTGTTATTATTTCTCAGGAGGATTAAAAAACTGTCCGGTATTTATGGCTACTAGCAAAGTCCGAACAAGTAGTTTCTCAAAGAACTTTTCAGCTGCACCTACCTCTTCTGTCCTTGGTCTCAAGTATGGACCAAATGGAACAATCTTTCTTTCATCAGGCATACCGGATCTTGATAGTAATCCCAATACCCCCTTTTATATTTTATTAAAGCATCTAAACAAGTATGACAACAATTTCCTAATGGATGAATTGTTTCTGTAATATATAGAGATTTTAGGTGGGGGATTCCATTTAGGAAGTCTGGTAATGATCATGGAAGACACTGAAGCACCTCATCATATGCCTTTGTTAAGGACTTTCATGTCTCAGGGACTAGTACACAACCAACCTGTTCTTTATGCAAGCCCAATCAAAAACCCTAGAGCCTTTCTTGGAACCTTGCCAACTACTTTAGTCCCCAAAGATGACAAATCTCGTAACACTGATGCAGAACATGTACTACTTTACTTTTTCCCATTTCCCCTTAGGAACATGCATCTTTCTCTTCACAACTACAACTGTATTAATGTAAATGATGCCTTTTTATGAGCTTGTAGAAGGATTTGCGGATTGCTTGGCAATATAAGAAGTACCTTGGGGAAAATAAGCAACATAACGAGGAGCGAGGTAATTTTGTATCTTTTTATCCATTGTGGGGATTTTTAGTATAAAAAGTAAACATCTTTTGTGTTGTGATAATGTGATGCAGATGGGAAACCATGTGGAGTGTTTTAGCCTTTTAGATTGTTCAAATCTTGCTGGATTTTGTGATAGTTGTTCAAAGTTCATATCTCAATTTCCAAAGTACTGATGTTATTATTAGTAGCAGATTGATCTTATTAAACTTAAAAGTGGTCTTCTTCATTGACTCTTACACCTAATTTTCATAATTCTAATCAGGTATGATGGAAATATCACAAGTGCAGGAACAATTGCTATCCAATCATTTTGAAGCCTGTTGTGTTCAAGGGATATCAAATAGGCGGTGCAATCTGTGATGGAGCTATAGGGGCGACTGCCAAAACGCTTAAATTACCTCGTGAAGATGAGTTCTGGAGTAGGGGAATTAGTGCTTGTGCAATCTGTGATGGAGCTTCACCAATTTTTAAGGGTGAAGTTCTTGCTGTTGTTGGAGGAGGTGATACAGGAACTGAGGAAGCAATATATTTGACTAAATATGCAAGACATGTACATTTACTTGTACGCAGGGATCAATTAAAGGCCTCACGAGCTATGCAAGACAGGTTAGAAAAAATATGTATTTCTCTTCTCTTAATTGGAAACAAAAAGTAAATACAAATTTAAAAATGGATTAAAAATGGAAAATTTTGTACCAATTAAGAGGATATTATTACCTATACAACAAGACCCATCTGCAGCCTTTGACTAAATTAGGAAGGGAAGACTGAAAGAATTGGTATAAATCTTGATTAATGAAAAAGGAATCAAGGGAAAAGTCAATGATAGCTTTCATTAGAGTATTTGGTTCAGTTGCATCTTCAAATTCAGAGCTGCTGCTACTGCTCCTTGAAGATCCCTGGTCTCCATTAGAGTATTTACTATTTTCGTTTCTGGTTGTTTTGTTTGCTTCTGCTTATGCTGAAATATTTATTTATGTGTTGTTTTTGAAGGATAATTATCTTGAAGAGGCAAGGAAAATGAGAAACCTCCATTTCTTTACAAGAAGGTTTGCCCGAGGTGGAATAAGTAAGGCTTCACGTGTTATTAATATAAATGAAGATATATATGCAGGGTTCAATTCCACTTTTGAGGCAGGGTAACATCACGCACCATGAATACATACAGGTTTGTCTCATCACAATCCTATGCCGCTAAATATTCATAATTTATAATTATATTTTATTTTTGGCTAATATTTTTACATATGTAGATTGGTAAAGGAATAGACGTTGGGTTAAATCAAATTGCCCTGATTGAAGGTTGACCAATTCTGTAGAGCACCTGGTTTTGGTGACAGAAAAAGTCAATATCTTGATGATATTGCTATTCTTACTGGAGGCAAGTATTTCATATGTTGTTTTTTAACAAAGGGTTTTGGTTGAAATTTGTCTTCCAACTATTCACTATGACTACATTTGGTCCCTAAACTTTTAAAATTTCTATTGCATACGGGAAATGTAATAAGAGAGGAGGTAGGTGTTGACCAAAGATACAACCACCATTGATGGTGATGGAAGCACACAAGAGTTGGTGAATAGACGGGTGGCTCAAATTAGAAACCTTGTTGAGGCAGCATAACAAGATTATGAAAAAGAAAAATAAATGAAAGAATTTTATTTAATTTTTGTCTAATATTTTTACATATGTAGGTTGCGGGTGGAAATGGAGAACAAGTTTTAAGTAGGGACGTCTACAGAATTGGTCAACTCTTTGATTTTTTCAGAATGCTCTCTTTCTACTTCACCACAGTTGGTTACTAGTTGAGTTAAATCAGATGTTTTGTTTCAAATAATAGTTATATATTTAATTTTCCCTTTGAGAGTTTAATGTTAGTTTGGTTCAGGTAACTGTTGAGAAGGTTGTTTTGGAACAAAGCAATAGCCAGTATGAGCTTCAAGGCGAATACGTGTTGCTGGAGAATGAGGCTTACTAAGAAGAGCAATGGCTGGTAATTTAGGGAGTGTGATATCTTCTATGGGTCGCTGGAGAATGAGGCTTGAGGTTCCACGTGCTGAAATTGATGAGATGCTTCCACTTGCTAGGCTTGTTTCCCGAAGTACCGATCCATCTCTTCAATTTAGATCAAAGGTCATCCTCATTCATTCATTCATTTATTAAGTTTTAGTCTATCATCCAAATCCAAAAAGCTCTCATCTAAATCTAATGTCTTCTATTTGCAAAACACATGAGAATGAATGAATGAATGCCCTCTACCAAAATATAGCAAACACAACCTATCCTAATCCTGTTCATATACCATAAGAGAGTAAAGTAAAGTAGGTTCCATTCCTATACATTGGTTTGGTAAACAGAGTAAATAAAGTAGGTTGCTATTTGTAGCAAAGCTCTATCTAGTCTAGGGGTATATAAATATTATATGATTTTAGGTGATGTTGTTCCCCATTACCTTAATGTTGATCTTGCATTGGGAGATATACGTGTTGCAAAGTTTATCAAGTCTGACTACCCATTTGTCCTATTGGAGGAAGCTCAAGGTTCTTTACTTCTCTTACACTGTAATAATCCATCTTCACACTTATTTTGTAGTAATGTTTTTTTTTGCAGGCAATATAGATACTTTGAGCAAGTTCATACATTTAGTCCTTGAGCGGTGTTACTAAGGAAGAGTGGAGACAAGTGAGGCACACTTTTAAAAAAAGCAGCACAAATCTTGTTTACAGTGAGGCACACATTAGGTTATTAGAACTATTAGTGTGTAAATTTTTGTTACAACTTCTATTGATTTGTTTTATCTTTCCATGGAATGATTATTTGTATGACATTACATTTATGCAATGGATTCTATTTTTTGTATATGATATTTTATTTTCTATTATGAAACATTAAATACAAATTTAATTTGAAAATAATTAAATCTATAAATAGTATTTTTTTTTTAAACAAGAAAAATTATGATACGCAAAAATGTGCATCATCTTCATTTATGACATGGCCTTTCTTGACAGGGGCTTTCTTGATACGCATTGTGTGTCATTAACACGCGCGACGTAAGGCTACGACACACAAATGCGTGTCGTCTTCCTTTACGACAGGGTCTTCCTTGATACGCATTGCGTGTCGTAAACGCGCGTCGTAATTGCGCGTCGTAAATGCGCGTCGTCTATAGACGATGCGTAAAAGCGCGTCGTCACTCTTTATGACAGGGCCTTCCTTGACGCACATTTGCGCGTAGTCAGAGCCTTTTACGACGCGCAATGAGCGTCGTAAAAGGCTGTTTTTCTAGTAGTGTTCCCACTGCTTCTTCAGGTTCAACTTCATGATTGATCACTTACTCTTGAGTTTCAATTTCATGATTGACCATTTGGTCTTGGGTCTCATTTTCATGATCGACCACATTAAAGACATTACTTTGTTAGCTAACTTGTGACCTTAAATATGATAGAATATTGGTCTTTGAGTAATCATGCCCTTCATCAACATCTAATACTAGTGACTCCTCAAAAACAGTGTTTATAGATAGGTTTAAATCAAGCTTTTTACTACATGATCCTGCTTCTCTCCTACAATATTTCTTTCTATTCATTTCAGGTTACACACTATTAGGCTTCAACTCCTCAATAAAAACTTTACAAGGAGACTTATAATAACTAGGTACCTCAGTTTGACCATTTTCAATATACATCTTTATAAGTATGTGTTTAGGGACATAAGACACTATTTAAAGTATATCTTGGTCATTATCTAAGGGCATTAAGCCACAATCTTAAGGGTATTCAGGGATACATAAATGGTAGTAAAGGGTTTGGTCATTTTTGTACCCTAGTTCTCGAACCATGTCATGAAGATCATGAACTTAAAATAAATCAGTGTCAACATCATATATATATGGAACAATACCATCAATGTATTTCTTTCCAATTCCTTTGGTGAAGATACCGATGTACTATATCTTCAAAGTGAAATAGTTGTCATATCCTTCTACAAACACAAAAAAGAAAGGTTAAGGTGAATGAGTTCTCTACATGAACACAATCAACAAATACAATATTTTTTTTTGTAGTTTCGTATCGTATCTTTTTACCAAGTCCTACACAGTTGCAAAAGTTTCTCGCAAACACCATATTGACAGCACCATTGCGATTCCTTATACTTAAACCCGAATTCCTAATTTATGTTCTTGCTTCTAAGATGAAAATGGTACGATGATTGCAACTGTAACTAGGTGTGTTCTTAAGATAGGGACGAGTTGTGGAGTAGATGTGAAAACAAATGGTAATCATTTCGTATTAAAGAGTGAAGGTTACAACTGAATGGACAAAATTGCCCCTACAATATAATGTTGAAAAAAAGTTAATGACTAAATGGTAGTAAAGTGTTTGCCCAGTTTTGTACCCTCTTTCTCGAACCATGTCATGAAGCTCATGAACTGAAACAAAATCTTTGTTAACATCATCTACATATGGTACAATACCATAAATATATTTCCTTCCTGGTCCTTTGGTGAAGTTACCACTATAGTGTATCTTGAACGTGAAATAGTTGTCATATCCTTCTACAAACACACAAAAAAGGGTAAAGTGAATGATTTCTCTACATAAACACAATCAACAAAAAAATAAGTTTTTTGTAGTTTCATACCGTATCTTTTTCCCAAGTCCTGCACAGTTGCAAAATTTCTCGCAAACACCATATTGACAGCACCATTGCAATTCCTTCTGCTTAAACCTTAAATCCCAATTTATGTTCTTGCTTTTAAGATGGAAATGGTGTGATGATTATAAGTATAATTAGGTGTGTTCTTAGGATAGGGACGGTTGTGGATTTGATGTCAAAACAAATGGTAATCATTTGGTATTCAAGAGTGAAGGTTACAAGTGAAATGAAAAAATTGCCTATGCAATATAATATTGAAAAAAGGTTAACGACTGAATGGTAGTAAAGGGTTTTCTCCGTTTTGTACCCTCTTTCTTGAACCATGTCATGAAGCTCATGAACTGAAAATAAATCAGTGTAACATCATCTACATATGATAAATACCATCAATATATTTCCCTCCTAGTCCTTTGGTGAACATACCACAATAGTGTATCTTCAAAATGAAATAGTTGTCATATCCTTTTACAAACACAAAAAAAGAAAGGGTAAAGTGAATGATTTCTCTAAATGAACACAATCAATGAAAAAAAATATATTTTTGTAGTGTCGTACCATTTCTTTTTCCCAAGTCCTAAACAGTTGCAAATTTTTCTCGCAAACACCATATTGACAGCACCATTGTGATTCCTTCCGCTTAAACCCTAAATCCCAATTTATGTTCTTGCTTTTAAGATGGAAATGGTGCGATGATTACAACTATAACTAGCTATGTTCTTGGGAGAGGGACGGACCGTGGAGTTAACGTGTAAATAGTAACGAGGTGATCTGGAAGGTGTAAATATTATAAGTTTTGAAATCACAGGTACCATCCATGAATTTTCTTAAAATTAGCAACAAAATTTCAGATTTTGTGAAACCACAAGGACCATTTATGACGTTTTGTCTTAAAAGAATAAATGACAATTCTTTCAAAAATATGACATTTCTGCATGTTGTGTGTCTTTAACATCTCACTATTCCTATAAGACCAAGTAACCCAGTTTGTGGTGTTAATATTGACTTCAAACTTTCTTCATTTCTACGGATTGACATCTTAAATACTTCACTGTCCAAGATATGCTAAATGGCATTGACAAGTGATTGTTATTTTACTACACAACTCATCTTTTATTGTAGTATATTCCTAAATTCAAAATTTTAATGACCATGGCATTAAACGACAACCCCCTTCCCCTAATAATTTGACTATATTGGACCGATTAAATTATTGTTGACTTTGCATCTTTGACAAGTTTCACCACTTTACAAATATGTTTGTTTTAGGAACTATCATCCCGGTAATATTTTGTTGGTTTTATGTAAAACTCAAAATGAAACCTCATAATATATTTTATAAAATATTATTAAATAACTTTCTACCATTAAAGTCATAACTAAAAGTTGTTGTCAAACATATGGTAAGTTTACTACCACAACATCATGTTTTCACTCGCTAGTAATAAGTTGTAACTGTTACAAACAATTTTTCAAAAAAAAAAGTCGATTGATTGATATTTTCTAAACATCGACCTTCTAGCATAATGCATCGATTACACTTTCATAATCATTATTATCATGAAATTCGTTCTTAATTAAAATTAAAATGAAAGTGTTTAGTCTCTTGTGAGACATAGTCGAGCGTAAATAACGTTTTAAAAGCTTTAGTTTGGACAGCTTCCTTCAACGATGCAACTGTAATGAAAAAAATTAACAATAATTTGTATGTTAGACAATAAATTTCATAAATGTTTGTCATTTTTAAGAAATTTAGTATCTCAACCGGTTCATCTTTTTGTAACAATTTCAGTTCATTGGATTAATCATTAACTTCGATGTTTGAGATATGACCATTTTGCAACTTTTTTTAAAAAATTTTTGTAACTTGCCTTTAAATCGCTAGTATTTAGTGAGTTCAAAATTTTTATTATGAATAAGATACCAAAAATATATTCACATTGTTTGTATTGTTCAAACATTCGCTCTAATGAACAAATTGATTGAGCAATTATGTATATATAATAGTAAATCATGATTGACTCTTGAGGTGTAAGGTCATGTGTCTATTCTGATAATACAACATTACATTCGTCAAAATGTTTTTTTTAATTCTTCCTTTATTATTTTTCTTGATAAATACCTAATCAATTTCTAAATCAGAAGTTATAGCTCTTGCACAATCTAAAACCTTCTTAAACCCATTATGTTGCTAGTTTGTAAAATTTAAACTCATTAAGTTCTCTTGTGCTACTCATTGTCCAATAAATACATATATTCTCATATTGAAGTGTGATAGCATGCCTCATGGGAATGCCAGAAAGCACCAAAGGCACTTGCCAGATGGTTTGGCCAGCCGAACATTCTTACCATCCAACACCCATTCCGACCTGGAACGAATTATTCCTTGATACCTAGGATCCAGCCAGAAAATTGCATGGAAATACGGATTGACGATAAATATATGATCTACCAATCACAGCTCAGGCAGTGTACAAATATATGATCTACCAATCAACGCCCATGTCCCGATCAGTGTCTGACACCCCTATCTCCATAAGCGAGATCTTTTCCCTGCACCCCACTATAAAAGGCCATATTCCTACAGTGGTAAATGGGTTCAATACAAACTATCTAAGACTTATACTATACACTAACTTCTGTGTCAGAAGTTGACTTGACCGTAAGAGCGATCTTGCAGGACCACTTCCCGAAGATCGACTGACGACCTGTTTCCTGTTGTGATTGCAAATCTCCAACAGAGTTCATCTAATCAAGCCATCGCCATCATCACGGAGGTCCAATATCAGATAATTCATCCATCGCAACCATCCATGAGGTTTAATATAACATCAACATGTTTGCTCATGCTAGTTACTTAAGCTAATATATGATACCATATAACCATTCCAATTATAAAGTCAAATCGGCTAAGTTCATAATGTTGCTAGACAGGTAGCTTCACTTTTGATTTTTAAATATATATCTTCATCAACAATTTTATACAAAGCTTCTACTATTTTAGGAGCTT